TGAGTACAAATGAGATACTTGGTAGGGCTCCATAAGAACATGATAAAAAAAAAATTTCCTAGGAGTGATGTCAGTATCATGGGAAAATGAGTCATTCCTTTGTCTCTCACCTTTAAATTACAACCAGTAGGACATCTATAGCCAAACATAGGATCCTCTGTACAACACACCAGGATGCCCAAAAGATCCGTATACCTGAAGGTGGGCAGATTGGACCTCATGGAGTGGGTGGAACCAGAGGAGCAGCGGTGGCAGAGTGCATGACCTGAGGTTCCAGGAACTATGGCTGCACCCGCACCCCAGGTACCACACCATGGCAGTAGCACCTGCAACCTCAGCTGTCCCACCAGTGGGGGCTGCACCCAACAGCAGCTGTGCTTACAACTTGAGGCTGCAGGAACAGCGATGGCACTCACAACCCTGCAAGACTGACAGCAAGGCACCAATGACCTCAGAGGTACAAGCAGCGACAAAGGCACCAGTGATACCAATGGCAAAGGCAGTGGAGGGTGAAAAGTGCTAGCTCTCAAATATAAGTAGAGTCAACTCAGGTGTTTGCTACTTTAGATATGCCAGAAGAGGAACAATTCATCAAACACTATGAAAAAAGTACAGTGATATAGTACCACCAACAGAAATGGACAGTTCTCCAGAAACTAATTTTAAAGTTATGGAAGTTTGCAATCTGATAGAGAATTCAAAATAGTTGTCATGAAGAATCTCAACAAGCTGTAAGAAAATTCCAAAAGACATTTTAATGAACTAAGGAATAAAATGAATGAGTACTTTACCAAAGAGATTGAAACTCTAAAAGAGAACCAAACAGAAATTATAGAGCTAAAGAACTCAAGAAATGAGATGAAGAATGAATTAGAAAGCAGTGGAAATAAAGCCAAGAGAGAATTAGTGAGCTCAAAGATAGGAATCTAGAGATGATTCAGGTGGAAGAGGAGAACTAAGATCTTAAAAATATGAAGAAACTCTAAGAGAACTATCCAACTCCATTAGGAAAAGCAACATAAGGATAATGTACCGGTATCCCAAAAGGAGAAGGGAGAAGAGAGCTTATTTAAAGAAATAGCTGACAGGACACCTAATTACCTCAATGCAAAAAGACCTTCTCCAAGACACACTAAAATTGTCAAAAAGTCAATGATAAAGAATTTTAAAGGCAGCCAGGGGGAAAAAAGTCAGTAACCTAAAAAGGTAACCCCCATTAGGTTATTAGCACGTTTCAGCAGAAACTCTACAGGTCAAGAGAGAAAAGAATGACATATTCAAAATATTGAAAGATATAAATCACCAGCTAAGAATATCCAGCAAAGTTATCCATTAGATGTGGAGAAATAAAGGTTTCCATGACAAACAAAAGCTGAGGGAGTTCACCATTACTAGACCTACCGTACAAGAAATGTCGAAAGGAGCTCCTTTACCTGAAATGAAAACGGAAAAGTATACAAAACTTTGAATAATGTAATATAGAGAATCAGAAAATTGCAAAGTTACTTCAGAATACGATATTAATCACTAAAGTTTAACATAAAGGTTGAGGGAAAAATTAAAATAACTATTTTAATTTGTTAACAAACTCACAACAGAAAAAGGGACAATTTGTGACAGCAAAAATATAAAAGGAGAGAAAGAAAAGGGCAGAAACTTTATAGGCAAATGAAGATAAGACACTATTAGCAGAAAAAGGACAATTTTATCTATGAGACATTTTACACACATGGTAACCACAAAACAAAATCTAGAGCAAAGACAAAAAAGAAGAAACTGAGAAAAAGTCATAGAAAATCACCAAACTAAAATGGCAAACAGAAATACAAGGGAAAATAAACAATGAAGATATAGAGCAAACAAAACAAAAGATATAATGGCAGTAGTAAGCCCTCATATATCAGTAATTACCCTCAATGTAAGTGGAATAGACTCACCAATCAAAAGTCACAGAGTGGCTAGATGGATTAAAAAACAAGACCCAACTATGTAATGACCTCATCTGAGCTCTAAAGGCAAACATAGGCTCAAAGCAAAATGGTGGAAGATGATACTCTAAGCAAACGGTAGCCAACAGACAAAACAGACTTCAGCCAAAAAAGGTAATAGGAGCCAAAGAAGGACATTATATAATGATAAAGGGAACGATTCATCAACAACACATAACATTCATCAGTGTGTACATAAGCAGCATAAGAGCACCAAAATATATAAAGCAACTATTAACAGAATTAAAAGGAGACATTCACAGCAATGCAATAATAGTAGGGGGACATTAACACCCCACTCAATAAAATGAGTGTAAAAGGAAAGTACCTAAACAAAATAAATGCCACATGTGACAAACTGACAGCTTGTGTCATACTCAATAATAAACTGAAAGCTTTTCCTCTAAGATCAGGAACGAGACAAGGATGCCCATTCTCACTACTTTTATTCAACATAGTACGGGAAGTCCTGGCTAGAGCAGTCAGGCATGAAATAGAAATAAAAGGCATTCAAATTGGAAAGGAAGAAGTAAAACTCATTATTTGCAGATGTCATAATTTTACATATGGAAAACCCTAAAAGGACTCCACACACACACACACAAAACTATTAAAAATAATAAATACAGTAAAGTTGCAAGGTGTCAAATCAGTATACAAAAATCTGTTGTTTCTATACACTAAAGTGAAAAATTAGACAAATTAAGAAAACAAACCCATTTACAACTGTATCAAAAAGAATAAAATACCTAGGAATAAATTTAACCAAGGGGCTGAAAGACCTGTACACTGAAAACTATAACACATTGTTGAAAGAAATTGAAGAAGACACAAAGAAATGAAAAGCTATTCAAGACTCATGAATTGGAAGAATTAACATTGTTAAAATGTCCATATTACATAAAGCAGATTCAATACAACTTCTATCAATGGCATTTTTCACAGAAATAGAACCAAAAGTTCTAAAGTATTATGGAACTATAAAAGACCTTGAATAGCCAAAGCAATCCTGAGATAAAAAGAACAAAGCCAGAGGCATCACACTCCCTGATTTCAAACTATACTGCAAAACTACAGTAAACAAAAGCATGGTATTGACAGAAAGAGAGCACAGTGATCAGTGGAACAGAATTGAGAGCCCAGAGATAAACCCATACATATATGGACAACTAATTTACAACAAAGGAGTAAAGAACATACAACGGAGAAAGCAAAGTCTCTTCAATAAATGGTATTGACTTGAACATGACCAAAAACTATAAAATACATAGAAGAAAATAGTAAGCTTCTTGACATTGGTCTCAGTAATATTTGTGTAGGTTTGACTACAATAGCAAGGGAAACAAAAGCAAAAATAAATGAAGCCACATCAAACAAAAGCTCCTATGCACAGCAAAGGAAACCATCAATAAAATGAAAAGGCAACCTAGTGAATGGGAAAAGATAATTTGCAAATTATACATCCAATAAGAGGTTTAATATCCCAAATATATAAAGAACTCATACATCTCAACAACAATTTAAAAAAACCTGATTAAAAAATGGGCAGAGGATCTGAATAGACATTTTTACAAAGAAGACATATAGATGTCCAACAGGCAAGTTGAAAGATACTCGATATTACCAATTACTGGGAAATGAAAAGCACAAATGTGATATCACCTCACACCTGTTAGATGGCTATCATCAAAATGTGACAAGAAATAATAAGTATTGGAGAGGATGTGGAGAAAAGGGAACCTTCATACACTGTTGGAATGTAAATTGGTACAGCCATTATGGAAAACAATATAGAGGTTCCTCAAAAAATTAAGAATAGAACCAGCAAATCCACTTCTGGGTATTTATCTGAAGAAATCCAAAACATAAATTCAAAAAGATATATGCACCCCTGTGTTCATTGAAACATTGTTTACAATAGCCAACATATGGAAGCAACCTAAGTGTCCATTGATGGAGGAATGGAGAAAGAAGATACGATACATATACACAATGGAGTATTACTTGGTCATAAAAAAGAATGAAATCTTGCCATTTGCGACATCCGGACCCAGAGGGTATTATGCTAAGTGAAATAAATCAGAGAAAGACAAATACCATGTGATTTCATTAATGTGGAAGCTAAAAAACAAAATAAATGAACAAGCAAAACAGAAACAAACTCAGGTATAGAGATCAAATTGATGGTTGCTAGATGGGAGGTTTGGGGAGATGGGTGAAGAGATTAAGAAGTACAAATTGCCCATTAGAAAAACAGTCACAGGATGTAAAGTATAGCATAGTCAATAATATTGTAATAACTATGTATGGTGTCAGATAGGTACTAGACTTTTAGGGGTGATCACTTTGTAAGGTATACAAATGTCTAATCAGTCTACGGCCATGCTACCCTGAACAAGTCTGATCCCGTCTGATCTTGGAAGCTAAGCAGGGTCGGGAACTGAACAGATACATGCAAATAAATGAAACTGGACCACTTTCTTACATTATATAGAAGAATAAACTCAAATGAATTAAAGACTTAAAAATAAAACCCAAAACCATAAAATTTCTAGAAGAAATCATAGGCAGTAAACTCTCATATAGTTATTAGTAATTTTTTCTGATGTATCTCCTCAGGTAGGGGAAATAAATAAATAAATAAATAAATAAATAAACAAATGTCTAATCACTGATAGATACCTGAAACTAATATAATGTATGTCAACTGTCTTTGAAAATAAAAAAAATTATTTCTATAAGGGAAAAAAAATGTCATAGCTGAAAATATTAATAACTGCAAGTCTATAAAAAAATTTTTGTTCTGACTCTTTTAGGAAGGCTCCAGAGTGAGCACCATAATTTACTTGTAATTTTTTTGTCGTGGAAAATATAGGCTGTAGGTTGTTCAATCCAGAAATCTGATTTGGGGATTTTGTTCATTATGTTGATAGAATCTAGACATTTGTTCATGTGATAGTTTACATCTTTCGATCATACTGATTTTCAATTTATTTTGTCTTTTATTTTCAGAAAGAGTTTTGGAACACCTACACAAAAGCGCAACAAGGAGAGAGTAACAGAGGAAGTGACTGGTTTCAATTTTACCTTACTTTTCCATTAATCTTTAGCCTCTTCTTTATTCTCCTTGTCGTTTTCCTGGTCTGGAGATGCTTCTTAAGAAACAAAACTCACAGACAAACAGTGACCGAAAGCCACATCCCTTTCCCTGAGCACCTTAATATTATTGATCCGTCCCTTCCACCGGATGAAGTGTTCGATAGCAGTGGATTGTCGCCAGGCTTTCTAGATTATGTAGTTGGGCGCTCAGATTCTGTCTCCACTCGCCTGTCCAACTGTGACCCTCCACCAACCTATGAGGAAGCCACTGGCCAGGTGAACCTTCAGAGTAGTGAAACAGAACCTCATTTAGACCCACCGCCAGAGTATGAGGACATCATCAGCTCCAATGCAGCCTGTGCCATTCCTATGGTGCCTATGGCCACCACCATCAAATGAAACTGCAGACTTCTTTCTACTATAATCGTTTTTAAAATACTAATGAAAGAACTTTCTAGCACTTTACCACTACATAACTGTGCATTGACTTATTGGACTCTGACAGCATACCACTTCACATTTTCTGATTTGTTTCATTAATTTTGTTTCCTACTATAAAATCATTATCTATGCTCATTTTTGCTAATGGAAATACATGAAGAGGGAAAAACAGTGGAGGTCTTCATGTAATTTGATGAGTTATACATATATGTGTGTATGTGTATATATGTGTATTCATGTATAAATACATACGTGGCATGTGTGTGTACATCAACCCAGCATATGTGCAACTGTCTTAAAAAGCCATTAACTTCTGTTTGAATCACCTGTAAAGAGAACATTACTCACCAAAACTAGGGGGAAAAAAGGCACCAACATTTTGTGTAATAGATAGCAATATGCTGTTACATTTTGAAAAGATGAATTTAGCATGTTTTCTAATTCTTACTGGCTTTTGTTAACCTCCTCTTTCTTCATCTACCTTAAAAGGAAAAAAAAAAGTCCATCTCGATTTTAGAAACATCTCAGAAAGAGACAGAGAGAAGGCACAGTAAATAACTTGCCTTTAGTGTATAGCTAGAAAATCATCAGTCATTAATGGCATTTGGCTAATTTTGTAGGAGAGATTTTTTTTGTTGAGTGCATTCCCCTCCCCAAATTAAGCAGCGCTTGCTTATTATCTTTGGATGTTTCATGCTATTTGTATTAACATCTTAGTGGGGAGGATTTCCTGGCAACAGAATAATTTCTAAAGTAGATCTATGTATTAATAATAGGGAACAGATAAAGATTTCTCCTTTGCTCACTGGCGACAATAATTATTTTCTTCTCACTGTTTCATGGTCTTTTATTCTACTGTTTATTCCCTCACTCACCACCACAGAATCTTCGAGCACCTAAGAATTTAGCTAAGATTCTTAAAATTATTTTCCTAATGTTTTTATATAGATTGAAATCTTTGCCTCAAGATGATTAGGAGGCAATTCGCCATTAAATTAAGAACTGTGATTTTTATATTGCTCTCCAGTTGGTGGAGGAAGATTGCAAAGTCTGTTGTGCCAGGTGCACAATAAATCTAGTTATATTAGCTTCACACAGATCTCATTATTGTTGCTATTTCATTTTTGTATTTTCATCAGACTTTTTTAACTACAAGATTTGTACTTTTCCCTTGGAACAGAGAACAGGCTGTGAATGAACTGCCAACATAAACTGGCTCAGAAAGAAAAAGTAAGACAGTTGTTTTCGTATGAAGTTCCATAATATATGCACTGATGAAAAATTCATTACATCAGTTAGGGAAATGTGTCTGCCACTCCCAAGCCTCCTTAGTGTTGGACAAAATGGTTGACGAGGCAGATAGAATGCAGATTTCAGAAGTGTCATACCGTGCTGCCTCTGTCTCTATCCCCACTGACCCCTTCCTCAATCTTGCCCTAGAACCCAAGGAAGGGGAAACGCTGGGGAGAATCCCGAACTAGGGGTCAGATGAAGTGAATTCTAATCCCATTCTGCAACATAATTGCTATGGTACCTGGGGAAAGACCCATACCTGACCCTCAAATTCCTGAATTCTGAAACAGTGATAAGATCATTTGTCTTACCCATCTCCAGTGGCTTCAAAAGGATCTAATGAGATGGTGTATGTGAAAGTAATCTGTAAGATGTGAAGTCATCTAAGTGTATGGTCATAGCATTGTTCTTATATTGCTTAAAGAAGAGTTTTCTTCCTGTTTCCCTAAAACCTATTAGAGTTTTCACATAGTGAGAAATAGAGTAGTCTGCTCCATAAGTGGCTAACATGTTCCTAATCTGAAGTTGTGGGTTATTAAAGTTCTGTCATTCTCTGCTCTATACCAAGGCTGTGCCAACTTAAAGATGCCAGCCAGCTTAGCACAAACAGGATTAAGCAAAATATTAGAAAGGGAACTAAGATGTGTATGTTTAGTTAGGTTTTGTAGCTTTCGTGAGCTAAAAATGAGTAACTCTTGACCTTGGCCTTAGCATAAATGGTTTTGAATTTGGCCATGGGTACGTGGTGATCACTGGCTCCAATTAAAGCTGAAAGTGGGACTGTTTGATCCAATGACGTGTGTATGTGTGTGTTTATTTTGGTTTATTTTTAAATGAAAAGTAAGGCTCCTTCTGTGTGAATTTTTTAGGTCTTTAATATCAGGCCTTAGATTAAACCAGCAGTTTTCAAAAGTGTAGCCCATGAACAGAACCCCTGGGAGTCCTTGAGAGCCTTTCCATGAGATCAAAACTATTTTCATAATACAAAGATATTGTCTTTTCACTCTCTTGAAAAGGAATTGAAAATGTAAAACGATACCATCTTCCCACAGATCTTTTTTTCTGATTTAAAAAATATTTTTAAAAAATTTAAATCTTATGTTAGCATGTAATGGACTTTTTAATTTTTGAATGGATAAATACTTTAAAATTTTCAATTTTATTTTCTAATATGGCAATACTGATAGATGTCAACACCATAAACAAAAGCTGTTTGGTGTCCAGGATCCCCAGTAAATTTTAAGAGTATGAAGGGGTCTGGAGACCAAAAGTTTGAGAATCACAGGATTAGACAAAGGAGCAGAATGTTTTATTATTAAGTATATATTCTTGCAACTTTATTTTATATTTTAAACTCCTGATATTGGAATTAATGCTGCCTCTTAGAGATACCTGAATTGCAGTATAATAAGGAATGTTGGTCCTTGAAACAAAAGGCAAATACTTAAACTGATCAATGACTACAGCTTTTTAAGAGTGTTGGTCAAAGAAAATGCTCTACTTCATTGTGATAACTGGTATCAGCCATTGGTCTGGCAGCATTTGTGTCATGATACCAGAATAAACAAAATACCACTTTCTTCAAGAAGCATTCTCTTAGGTTTGTTTGGTTTGGTTGGATTTTGGTTGGGGTTTTACATTTTTAAAAACCCTTTTGCTATCCTATCTGGCTTTATAAACCAAGTTTCTTAACATTGTTATAATTAAAGGGGCTGTCTGGAATAATATATATTTTTTATGCTTTTGCCTTTCTTACCTGATTGATATTACATTCACCTTTGATCATTTTTAATAAAGTTTTATTTTTGCAAATATATTTAGTACCTTTCTTAAGCAGTAACTAAATCGAATCAACCAATTTGCATTTAAATGAAAGAATGGCTTAATGGTCTTCCAGTGGAATAGTTTCCAAACCTCCACATGCAGTGGCTGTGTCTGGAATCCTAGAAATGGCACTTTCTGCCTCCCTGCTTTGAATGTCACAATGAAATCTATCTGTTTAAAGTAAATTAAATGATTTCTTCTTTCCCTTTTGATCAGTACAGATACAGATGCTTGATTTGTTTGATTCGTTGTTAATGATGATTTGATGATTGATGATCTGATACTATAACTGTGGAGATAGCTTTAACTTGGTTCTGTGTAAATAGCATGTATTTTGTTTCACATTTTTAAACACTTGGTTTACATTAAATTATGGTATTTAACTTTTTACGTTTATACTGGGTAAGGTTTTTCTTATGTTTCTATGTTTTTGGTATGCTAAATAAAGCTATTTTTTAAATCCAACAGATTTCTTCTACTGTATGTTAATTATTATATTATGGTTAGGTGACAAACATGCTGCATAAGCTCTTACTGTGTGTGTGTGTGTGTGTGTGTGTTTTTTAACTAGGTAAAATTGTTTTTATTTTTTTTCTTACAAACTTAGGGAATATTGCTCAGTTAAGAATCAAAAATTATCTGATGAAAACCTCAGGGTGTTCTCAGCAAGAAAGAAATTTCTGTAGTACTTTTGAATGATGCTGACATGATACAAGTTGGGAACACTTGCTCCAAAGGGATCAACTGAGCTCCCTTTTATAGTGTATTCTGTCAAGTACTGGTAATGGTGTTGTCTGCAGATACCAAGGAGCTGTTTTTTTCCTCAGCAGAACAGCTTACATTTGACGTTTAGAAGATGAGAAAGGAAAGCACAAAATGGAAACACTTGAGACCACAGGGCAGCTTCTTAAGTGTAGTTATCTCAAAAACTAAAAGCTGATGTGACATTAATCAAGCAAATGTAAATATAACTTGATCTTTATGGTTTAAAAAATTAAAATTACTTATATTCAAGGAATTTAAGTATATATTATAAGTCTTAAGTATCCATTTTATAAGCATAAGTCCCCAGAGTTGTCCAAAATATCATAACAAGGTACTTTTAAAAATATATAGCGATTTCTAAAACAAATTCGAGATTAAGACATCCATGAAACCCAATGCCTAGATCAAGACATTTCCAGCACCCCAAGAAGGCTCCCTTATACCCATCTCCTTAAAGATAACACTATTCTCACATCTGTTATAATAGCTAAATTTTTAAAATTTCATACTTGGTTGTGCCCATATGGACTTGCCTTTTTCCTTTTTTAAATTCTTAAGGTATTTCAGAAAAATTCAAGTTGGAAGGTCCAGAGCTACTCTTCTATCTCTTGGCCCACCTTGAAATCACTGACTAGTTCTCTCTGAGCCTTTTTATACATACCTGAGCTCTTTGAGGACAAGACTTATGTTTAATCCTTTTAACTCCCTTGCCCAAATATATCAAATACCTAAAAGTGAGAGCTTTTTTTTTTAAAGAATTGACTGTGAATTGACCAAAACGTCAGCTGTCCAGCTAGTTTCCCTAATGCTTATCTTTCTGCTGTAATTCTTACCACCTGCTATTTCCTTAAACTTTGCATGGCATTTCGTTCTCAATAATTTTATTTTATCAATTTCTATGATTTTTTTAGACTTCAAAACTCAGAATAATCTGATCCCACAAGCTTATCTAACCTTATTTCTTTCCATAGCTTAGTTGGTAGAGTTTTATAAAGTGCTTACCTTGCGTGAGACTAAAGGGATTAGAACATAATGGTGCCTATAGCCCTTATCTCTGGGGATTTTACAATCAGCTTAAGCCTGGGATAACCTAATCTAATTTAGTATAACCCTAATTCCACTCCAACTCAGATTTTTTTTTTGCGCAAAGTCCTATGGTATTTATAAGTCATGTATATCAGTCTGTGTTGTGATTTTTATAAGTTTTAGCAATAGAATTCTACTTTCAAAACATTTTTCATAGACCTCTAATATATTAAGCAGATGAGACCCTTCTGGTTGATTACAGAAGCGAGAAGCTTGGAACCTCACCATCTGTGACCTTTCAAGTCAATCCTCCCTAGTCCATATCACCTCTGCAAACAAAATTTAATGAACGTAATTGGAAAACCACTGTAATATAACATCTATTGATGTCCAATTTCACAATCTATATAAAAAATTTCACAATCTGTATAAAAAATTCTACAGAATCTCCTCCACTAACAGAATGCTTAGAGTTGAAATTGCTCTTTTTAGTCCAATTGTGCCTAACTCACAAGTACACCATACTGGCCACCAACATACACTATTAAAATTATATTTGAAGAGAGAACCGTGGGATGTTAATAGTTCTGATTCTTTGTTTACATCATTTCCATCATCATGATACTTCTTGCTATATTTTCAATACTCAGACCTTTTACATGTATAGGAAATGGTTTAATATATTCATAAACCATATTTAAAAGTAAGCATACAGTGATGTCACTGGAAATAGTGTGGAGTAGGGAATTACAAAAGCATGTTATTCCACAAAAGCAGCAAATAAACTGGCAAAACTCTGGAAACTAAAGTTTATAGTAACCAGGCAAGAAAAAAACCTTTAACTTACCTTGGCCTTATCCACTGCTTCCTTCTCAGTAGCATCTTGGAAGACAATGGCCCACATTCCAGGTATAAATTTCTAGTAGTAGAGGCAACAAAATCAACCTTATTCTCAAAAAATTGAGGTTGGTTGTTTAGCAGTGTATTTTGGCTTTCTGAAGTACCAGCTAAAAGGGCTTGCCTTTATTTTGCCTTACTTGGAACTCTCCCAAGTTGGTGGCAACTACATTGTTGGGGGGAGGTGTCTTCCAAAATAACCTAAATGCATTAGCTACTACCAACTAGACAAGGGTTAACAGCTGGGGTAAATAATAGACAAACTGAAAAGCTTAGGAAGAAATAATGGAGAATTAAGAGAGAAAGGAATTTGAAAAGCTCCCACAGAGTCTTAGGAATTGAGAAGGCCAAGCACATATCCAGAGCTGAGTGCATGCTCTAAAATCTGAGAAGGCTCTAAACTCTCACCTTCGTCTGACCTTTATGTTCCCCACAAACAGGAAGAAAAGGTTATAGTAGAGTTTTGTATTGCCTGGCTGGAAGTTAAAGGCTTGCCCCAATACACAGAGCTTATCTGCAAAAACTAGTATTCCATTTGGGGTGGAGGTGGATTTTAGTTTAAGGAACTATGTCAAATCACTAGCTAATCACTGCAATAATAGAAACAAAACCTCAGTGGTCACGCATGACAAAACAGACTACAAAATGAGTTAAAAAGTCACTAAAACAACAATTAGAACAAGTAGCAGAAACAAACTCTGAGAAGAGAGAATCTGATTTCTAGAGTTGCCATTCTATAATTTTAATAAATAGACCCACATACTGCTTGATACCCAGTCCTGACCACATTGGAAGCTTGACCAGATAACCCAGGTAACCACAGAGCCCACCCTATAGCCTTCATTTGGGCAGGAAACCATGCCAGCAGTCCTATTTAACTATCCAAAGAATCCCAAATAGGTTGAATCTGAATAGGGCTACAACGAGACAAGTTATAATTAAATTGCCAAAAGTCAAAGACAAAGAAATAATTTTGAAAGCAGTAAGAGAAAAGAGAGAAGTTACATACAAGGAAATCCCCATAAGACTATGAGCAGATTTATCAACAGAAACATTTCAGGCTAGGAGCAAATGGAATGATATATTCAAAATATTGGGGGGAAAAAAACTCAGCCAAGAAATCTATACCCAGCAAAGCTGTCCTTCAGAAATGGAAGGATAAAAAAAAAAACTTTCTAGAATAAAAAAAAGGCTGAGAGAGTTCATCAACACTAGACCTGTCTTATAAGAAATGTTAAAGTGAGTTCTTCGAATGGAAGTAAAGGAATTCTAATAAACATTATAAAAAACATAAGAAGCTGGTGTAAAACTTACTGGTGATGGTAAATATATAACCAAAGTTAGATACTATATAAACTGTAATATCAAAAAAATATGAGGGGGAGGAGAGGTATAAAGTTTAGAAATTCTGTTGAAGGTAAGTTCTTAGCAGTTTAAAATTAGATATTATAATTTTAACGTATTTTATGTAAGCCTCATGGTAACCACAAGGGAAAAACTTCCCATCATTACACAAAAGAACATGATAAAAAAAAAGTCGACTCATACTGATGATACCAAAAGATATCAAAACACAAAAACAGCAGGTTATGAACAAACTAACAATAGATCTACAAAATAACCAGAAAACAGTTAAGAAAATGGCAATATTGAGTTCTTACCTATCAACACTTACTTTAAACATGAATTAAATTTTCCAATCAAAAGACATAGGATGACTGACTGGATTGAAAAAAAACAAGATTCAACAATATGCTTCTTACAAGAGACTCACTTCAGCCTTAAAGACACACATAGACTGAGAGCAAAGAGATGGAAAAAGTTATTTCAAGCAAATGGTATCCCCCAAAAAGCAGGGGTGGCTCTATCTATCATCTATCTATCTATCTATCTATCTATCTATCTATCAATCTATATTCAGAAAAAATAGACTTTAAACTAAAAATAGTAAAAAGAGACAAAGGTCATTGTATAATGGCAAAGGTATCAATCCATCAAGAAGATATAACAATTTTAAATATTTAGGCACCCAACATTGGAGCACCCAAATATATAAAACAAAAACTATCAGACCTAAAAGGAGAAATAAACAGCAATATAATAATAGCTGGGGACTTTAATACCCAAATCTGAACAATGACAGATCATTCAGACAGAGAATCAATAAGGAAACAACAGGTTTGAACAGCACTATAAACCAAATGAAGCTAACACATATAGAGAACATCCTATGCAACAAAGGCAGAATACACATTCTTCTCAAGCGTGCATAAAACATCTTATAGGATACACCATATGTTAGGCCATAAAACAAGTCTTAAATTTAAGAAAATTGAAATCATACCAAGTATCTTCTCTGACCACAATGGTGTAAAACTAGAAATTAACATGAGGAGGAAAACTGGAAAATTCTAATACATGGAAATTAATACTCTCCTGAACATCCAATGGATTACAGAAGAAATTAAAGGGAAGATACTTTATGCCAACAAACAGGAAAACCTATAAGAAATGGAAACATTCTTGCAAACATACAACCTACCATGACTCAATCAGGAAGAAAGGAAAATCTGAACAGACCAATTATTAGTAAGGAGGTTGAATTAGTAATTGAAAATCTTCCAAAGCAGAAAAGCCCAGGACCATATGGCTTCACAGTTGAATTTTAGCAAATATTTAAGGGAGAATTATTGCCAATATCGACAAAA